TTAATTTATAAATGCAATTATCTCCGGAACCATTTGTTATTTCAGTAACGTTTCAAATGGGATTTTTTCTATTTCGAGAGAACAGTAATTACATCTATTTAGTTTATCTCTAAATAAACGCGTATAAGAGAGATGAAATTCGCTACTATTTTTTGAAACATAGTCGTGTAATTTGTTTTGCATCGATCGATACAGTATGCTATACGAAAAAGTCTCTACGAATAGTGTCAACCTAACATATGTAAATCGAAAACCCACCATAACAGGAAACAGAATTGCATTTGAAATATCCTTTTAACGCTAGATTTATAAGTATTTATTATAGTTAATATGTAATACTCATAAAAATTGTAGCGATAGATTTTTCTCTTCTTCTTTACACATTCATTATAGTATTCAAGTGAAACTATTTTTCAAATCATTTTGGATCTTTAAACCCTTGCCCTATGATTTATTTCTTAACTATGATCGATACAACTTCTTTATCATTAATAATTTATTACGAAAAGAAAAGATTCTTTATGCTTGTTCTATGGCTATATTTACTCCAAAAGATAACGATTGATAATAGAAAAATAATATTTAATTTATATTTCAAAAAAAAAATAAAACTTTTAAAGATTTCTCGAATTCAGTTTAAAACTTTCGTCGCGAGTCTAACACGATATTGTAGGTCAAGGCGTTAACACTTTGAAGACATCAACAATTGCGAAATCAGAAAACTGAAATCTATGATTCTGCAATAGTTCTAGTGTTAACACTAAAACTACCAGACGAGTCAAAATGACCGATTTCTGATTTCTTCTTCTTGCAATTATTAAAAAGTTAACAGATATTTTTCTGAGATATTATTAAAGAAACTGATTTAACAGTACACAAACTGAATTGTAAATAAATTAAAGTTTCAATAGATACACTCGTGGAGTTTCTATAGAGGATTTTCAAAAAGTCAATTTAACTGCTCGGTAGTTTTAGTGTTAAGTAACGAGTAGCTTCGAAAATAATTTTATTTATAGATTAAAAGAGGATAGCTTACATAAATCTATCAACCACATAGAGTTGTTCATCTTTCTAAAATATTGTGTTCCCATGATACAGTTACGATAAGCTTAAACTTTCAGCAACCGCGTTGTTTGTTAGATAGCCACAGCTCCAAGCAACAAATTGTGGAGCTAACTATGTAAGAGATGTTGCGAAGAGAGAAAAACGAAGAGGAAAAGAACGTTTCGTCCTGGACCTGCTATTGGACTCATCAATAAGACAACCCAGCGGTGGAGATAATCGATAATCGATTGAGGAAGGTCTGTAGACGAATCGATAAAGGATCGGGCAGCTGGGGGAAAGGTATGTATCGACTCAGAGCTGTAATAGTAGCAATTACAGAATGTGCTAACAGTGAAGTAGACGTTCGGAATCTGCAATCTTTATCTCTATCTTGCGATTACCGTATGCTACATTGTACTATAATTCCATAGTTAAAAGTATAAAATTGTATTAGAATTTTATTAAAATTGTTACAATAGATGATATTGTTAAAATTGAATTTAAAAGATTTGAGGAATTCCTTTTTCTATGAACATTTACTACGATGAAAATGATCGGTGTCACTGTTAATATAGATAAGATTGATCTGTAAATATTGACCTACGCGATGCATCGATATTTCCTGTTTACTGTGTAAACTTCAGCTTGTTTTATTTAATTTTAATCGCTACGCAATTCTTTCTGTTGACTTATAAATATTGAGGTTGAAATGAAAAATATCTAAAATATTATGAAATGTGCACTTATTATAATTAAGCAACGAATGATTATTCGATAACTTAATTCTGGTATGTACTTATTTCTTAATTATTTGCAAATAAATAGGTAGTAATAATGATAACAAAAACAATAACGAGCAAATAATAATGTAACAAGATGCAAGTATATATATGAAAACTTTACTGAAGTACAAAATCATTAACGCTTTCAAACAATGTTATTAATGCTTATCTAATAAAAATTTCACTTTAAAGTTACAGTTTAATCTAGTAGTTTAATAAAATTACAGTCTGAAGCTACACTGATTCAAGTTCAAAGCAATTAAAAGTATAACAATTAATTCTGGTTGATATTGTTTTCACTGTTAAAGTGAAAAGGATTCAATTTTTTACTGTAATAACGTCGAGTAAAAGAACTTTACTGACTGAGGCATTATTTTCAAGATAGAATGATCGGTGTAGTTTGAACGTATTGACTCGCTTTTAAACAGAGCAAGATAAGTTTCTCTTCACACAAATGCTACAAATGCAATTTCAGGCGTTGAATGCAATACTTACCTACATCGATAGAATGTTAAGCGTATTTCAGGTCACCAGATCTAAGTTATTCCCTAATGGATTGAATTCCCGTCGTATTTACGGGCGAACAATTGTCGTGCGAAAAATTTTCATGCGAGAAACAGGAAAACCTGGCAGAACTGCAAAAACATTCAAACTGACTTCATAAGCGCGCTGCAATTACCGTCGGATCGCAGAGTAAGGTGTTTTTCCGTGAAAGAGAACTAGTAAAAAGACAGCTCTCGCCTTCATTTAGTAAATTGCTCGCTGTAAAGGAAAAAACTTCGCGCTTTAAACACTGGCGAATAATTAAGCCTTATTTCAAACTACTGCCACGAGAAAACAATGCTAGGTATTGTAGATGATGCACGTCGGATTTTATAAGTGTCTCTTACAATCATTTTTCAACGTGCACACAATTTCGTTCGAATACATCGCAATTAAGAAGGAAGTTTAAAGCCAGAACGATATACGAAACCTTCGTCATAATTGCTGTAGTTCACAACTCCGCTGTTGATAATAGATACACAAAGAAAGTTTACATACCACTACTTCTTTTTCCTTGTTTAACAATGAATCAGCGAGTACTTAGTTCCTTACAAATACTTATGATTGTCTTTGTTCCCTTTTTCTGAGATCGAATTGTTTTAATTATATATTAATTCTGTATGGAACTAGAAAATTAAGATGTTTAAATGTGATTTAACATCAACAAATGCAAATTGATGATTCTCAATCACAGTAAATGAAAGATAATCTAAACAACATATTTCTTTGTTTCAAATGAACGGTAAAATGTTCATGATAATACAACTTCAAAAAGTGTAGCAAAACTTTTCACCAATATAATATTTCAAATAAGCATTATTTTAAATCCTTTTTCCTCGTAAAATAATGGTCTACTAAAATTTATTTGCCAGTAAATATTATTGACAAACTACGTGCTACATTACTTATCGTGAATTATCGTTCGATCTGAAATAATTTGGTCATTGTTCTTCTTTATTCTCCTTGCCTTTCGATATCCAGTTACATGATATGAGTTGAATCACGCACCCACACTTACATAATATCGTTTATCAATAAAAGTAATAGTACACGTAATAAAAAGTTCGATTGAATTTTCCCGGCGAACTATAAATATGATCTTATCAAAAACTTTTATTATGTTTGTTTGAAATGCAATAACCGTAAAACTGATATTGTTCTTTCAAATCAAGTATGTACAACTGTGAAAAGTGATAGCATTATATACACAAAAATCTGACAATATGATAAAAATGTAGCTTGTTTATTTTGAATAAAACTATTTTTTAAAATACATGCAATTCGATGTCAGAATTGATTAGCTTCAACACTACAAATACTCAAACATAAAATACAACTATTATAAATATAACGTAGACGATAAAATATTCTTTTCCGTTCTGGATGAATGTGCAATTACGAATTTCAACAAGGAGTTTCAACAAGAGTCATCACTGTGCCTAAATTTCCATAACGAAGGAGAGTTAAATAATTAAAATCTAGGCAACCCAGTCCTTATACAGCATGTTGTGTTATTTATGTCGCTGTTCGGCTACCTCACAAAGCTATTACTGGACGATGGAGAATTAATATCCACATGTAGAAATACGTATTGCGTTTGTCATTTGTATTTTTCATCTAAAATTCTCATTTAATTAGATTTACTGACAGAAGTGTTTATGTAAAAATCTTTAACGAATAGTATACTTTGATGAAGACTTCCACGAATTCAAAAACCGATACTTCCAGCAACAATAATAGATGGAAATTGAATTATTTCGTTACACGGTTCGATTTCCGTCACCTGTAAAAACCGCTGTCAAAGAAATGATGGATCTTCGCCTATCTAGACTCATTTTTCATCGAACTTTCTCCGAATAATACATCATTGGCCCTCGGAAATTAATCATTACTTTCGCGAACGCTTAAAGAAATCTCATGCTCTACTAAACATGAACAGCTGAGTGCAATATTGGGTGAAAAATCTAATAAAAGTTTCGAGATAGATGTTACACCATGTCTTTGACTTAAAGTGGAAAAAGTGTCAAATAAGATTGTACGTGTTTAGAGTGAATTGTTAATGTTGAAAATCTATGGTTAATAATTCATATAAACGATGAGATTTCTCAATATAAGTGATTGTTTGCATGTATAATATGTAGATTTTGAAGTTTCGATTTCGTTATCAGTTGTTAGTGATAATACACCTTTACGAGTTCTTAAAATATGTCTAAGAAAAAGTCATACAATCATACACGCGCCTAACTAACTGTAAATCCTGACTAAACACGAATAGTACCATGAACAACAAATTATTCTACCTACAAAAATCAGTTGAAATCGTATTGTAGAATAATTCGTGTTTATTCAAGACCTTCTTGGCGAAGTAATTAAAATGGAATATATTCTGTTGACAGTCAACCAAATGAATATATACTCGATGAATGATTAATCCAAATGCCATGAAGAATGAAGTTTCAAACGAAAAAATGATAGTCTACATTTTTACTTTAATTTTCATAAAAATATCTTGTCGATACCATGCATTTTCAATCGATTTAGCCAAATATAACTAGGAACATGTACGCGACAGGTTTCCAATTTAAATTTTCCTGGAAATGTATGCCTCGCATGAAAAACTTCTGTTCCTTATTTTTGACTTCTTTGTTCATGTAAAATCGCTTATCTTCCAATTATATCGCCAATTACAAAACACCTTGCATATTATCTCTGTTGAAATCCACTGAGCATGTTAAAACCGTCGATACCGTCGCTTTTACAACCGTGTTTTTTCTATATATCAATGAACAACCTGCAAAAATACAGAGGAAGGGAATGGTAGTGGATTGAAACGTTTTATCGATTTCGTCGTGGTATTCTATTTTCATGGAATCTTTAAAATACATATTTTCCTTCATTCAACCGTCCTCTCGTTCTGACACGATACTCCCAATAACGTTACATGTACTCGCAACTTTATATTTATACATGAACAAAAATAGCTCCCCGAGGAAATTTATTTCAGAAACCCCCTATATATTCCCCCCTGGTTCTGCTGGTGTGACACTATCATTTTGATTTCTGGGGGCATATTTTTTACAGGATTTGTTCTATCACTTGTGTCGTAGACTTCACGTGCCCACGTAACTGTTCAACACGAATATAATGACGAAACCGACGACAACAGAGAAGAATTGCAAAATTCCAGCAAATCGTCGCGAGCTCATATGCCATCGTGCCCTTTCCCTGGGAAGAATTTCGCTGACCGTTACGAACAACAACGATCCACCGGCTAATCCTTGCAGAATTGGCAGACAGACTTTCATCCAATCGTGACTCATCTGTAATAATGAAGTTACCTTCATCCTGTTATATTATACTGCGTTTTAATTAACCAAGGAGCGTCAAAAGAAAATTTTACTAAATTTTAATAACACTCTATACACATAACACATGAAGTTATAAGCAAATGGAAGATAATTTAATGTAGAAAAGTAAAGGAAAGAACATAGAATAATTATTTTGTGTGAAATTTAGTTTTCAAGAAAATCGACGTTGAATATATGACGACTAGTTGCGTTGTCTATAATCGAATTGTGTTGGAGTATCGCTTGACTTTAGACAGATATTAGTATAATGTGGTATACTGTTATACAATAGAATATAATATGATAAACTATGATATGATAGACTTAGAATATGAATAAACTTAGAACATAAATGATTGAAGTAATATGAATAATTATAATTATCATAACTCCATAAAATACCACAAGTTTACAATTCTACAAACTTAAATAATCAGTTTGCCTAATTTAGTTTATATTCGATATTCTCTTGAAATTATGAATCTATACCTAACACAGTGAAACCAAAGTTTCCAAATACTCATAGATTAACAGAACCAAACGATTTTATCGGACCTATCCAGTAACAAAATTTATATTCTTAATTTGGAAAAAATTATGTATTTAAAGTGCGTATACTCACCCGGAGCATTAACATTCCAGACCCAATACCAACTGCAGACCCGGCGGAGAAGGTAAATATCGCTAGTACAAATTTAACAAGTGAACTATTTGCACCAGCTAATTCCAAGCCTAAACAAAAGCCGACGACAAACTTATGAGAGGCCACAGCTCCAACCAACAGTAACACCTAAAATTATAGGCTATGTAAATTAGATGAATAAATTACATGAAACTAATCTTGACTTTTCTAATAACCAATAGATGGCTTCTAATGGCAAACAGAATACAATATCTTATACCTATTATAAAGGTAATAGAGGTACTCGCAACATTTACAAACTTGCTCATTTACCGATATTATCATCATCTACTAACGTACGGTAGACCGATGTGAATCAGACCAAGCCACATCTATTATATTGTAAATTATTTTGCAAAAGAAAATGCTGAATCTTCTTTAATTTTTTATCAATATTTAAGTATTTTAATTTTTCTATTGTTAAATAGAAAATTCACTACTCAAAATAATAACATTGGTAATATGTTTTAGGAAGCCTCACTCGTGATAGATTACTTTATACAAAATCACATAATATATTACTATTGTATTCCATATTAAACGCATACTATATACCTCTCACGTTAGCTCCATCGACCACCAAGCTAAAAATGCACAGGGGCAAGGGGAGTCTTCCACTCACGATGCTCAGGCGCCTCGACCTTCGACGCATGGCCATTATTGGCGCGCAGCAAAAACAAAGGACGAGAGCGAGAACTATAGAGAATTTTGTTTTCTATCGTTACGTCTCATTTCATCGCATTCCATCTCATTTTCCCATCGCATTTGCTATTACTGCGCGCCAATAATAACCATTCGTCGAAAGTCGAAGCAGCCCGAGCATCGTGAATGGAAGAGTCCCCTTGACCCTATGCACTTTTAGCTTGCTGACCGATGGAGCTTACGTGAGCGGTGTATATGTAGTATATTCCAGTTCCGACGAGTTAGCAGACTACCGTCAAGCTGAAAAGTGAGAGGGGCAGAGAGACTCTTCCACTCACGATGTTCAGGCTTCCTCAGTCTTCGACGCACGATTGTTATTGGCCGCGTGGCGGTAACAAAGGGCAGAAGCGAGACCAAATGCGACGGAGTGAGATATAAAGATAGAGAACAAAGTTGGCGGCACTAGGAACTTTAAACTCTATCGTTGCATCTCACTCCATCGCACACAATCTCGCTTCTATTCTTTGTTACTGCCGCGCGGCCGGGAATAAGATCCCCCTCTAACTTTTCAGTTTGTTGGTAGTCTGCCAACTCGTCGAAGCTGCACTATATCTTGTACGACTTACCTCGGATGTCGTCTTCTGCAAACCGATCGCTTGTCCCTCCAGCGTCGAATGTATGGTAAGCGCCAACAAAAGCCCCACGAGATTAGTGCTGGAATTGTTGCACGGCTCGGAATGATTACCGTGACATAAAAATGTTTCCTCCTCATTATAAAATGGGTCAGGGGCACTAGGTACATATTGCACGGCTCCGTAGTTGTTATTTTTCCAGCTGTTGTTCGTTCCATTCCCATAAACGTACGATTGATAAAGCATCTTCGGATTAACCTCGGACGCGTAAACATTTCTCGCAGATTGCGTGGGTGTGGAATAACTCATTTGAGGCGAATAAAGTCGGCAATACTCGCTGCAATTGACAAAATTTATTTGATGAACAGTTTCGGAATCGTAGATGTAGAAATAGACCGAGGCGAATTGAACTGATTTTTCTTTAACTTCAGAGTAGAATCTCGTTTAATCGAACGTGTTAGGGGATAAATTTGTTCAGATGATAGGGGCTCACCAATTATTCCTATCTTTTGATCTGATTTATTCGTATTAAAAAGCTTAATCCTTGGCAGTGCTTGTATACTAGATGAGAAATAGATGAGAAAGAAACTTATAAAAAGAAGAGCGAAACTATAAAGCAACTTTGTTGACAAAAGAAACATGAGATGGCCTCTGAAATCGATATTATTTACAATATACATAAAAGACGAAACAGCAGCCGGACTGAGAAAGAATCAACTGAATATGTAGTATTGTAGTAGTAAGAAAAGACAAGTTCTGGTCTCTGGCGTGCGTGGATAACATCGTTCTAGTGATATCAAAGAAAATGACAAGAAAAAGGAGAACTTCGACAGAAAGAAAGGAACACAACGCGCGAAGAAAACGAAAGTGACATTATTTTGAAAGAATGAAGAATATGACAGAAAATGTAAAAAGAAGGATTATAATATCAGTACGGTATTGAATAGGACGTTATTAATGAAAGATAAACAATTTAAAGAAAACTTAAAGTTAAGAATGCATATACTTGATATGTTAGATTTAATTTAATTAATGTATGATAGGGAGACGTGCGACTGCTTTGTTTACATTAATGTACCTGATACAATATACTCTTATAACATTTTTTCAGAGAATAACAACATAACATGTATATGTGCACCGGATTGTATAGTATTGGAAAAGTTAAAAAAAAATATAGTAAGAATGGGAGCCAGATAAAAATTATTGCAGTTAGTGAAAGAAGTGAACAAAGAAGAAAGAAAAAATGTTACAGGGTTGCATGAAAGAAAAAAAAAGGAATGTGCACAAACTAAATTTTTAAAGCATTTTAGAAATATTTTATAATATTTTTCAAACCACCCATGCATCTGTCAGTTGTTTCTTATAAAATTAACAGTGTAAATAATATCACCATTATGTTACTCACTTATTAAACAGGCTTACGATTAAACATACAATAGTACTAGTTTGTGACTAGTACCAATTAAAATGATAGATCAAGTTTTCATAAAATATACGGTTACTGATGCATAATAAATCGTTTAATATGCAATATTAACGATATAAATTCTAATATATTAAATATTATGAATAAATCTATTAAATAAGTACTAGAGAAGATCAACAATCGAAAGATTGTCGAAATCACTATTAAGTCAATTAAAGTATTCTACGTAAAATGAAAAATAACGAAACTGTTTGTGAAACATATTTAGCACAAGTTTGTTCACCAGTTGTTGGGCAATAAATCGATCTCCCAGACGTGACGTTTAATTTTTGTTCGTCATCTCGGCGATATAGGAAGAATCAAAGAATAACGCGATTAGCAAAAGACAAGCAATAGCTTCTATCGAGTTCCTTATTCGCCTTCCATTATCAGAAGTTTACCAAAGACTTCAACTGTGTTATTGAGTGGTTAAAAATATAACGTTGAATTTTCCACATTGGTACACGTATATGCACAGATCAATCAACAGGTCAATTTGCAAATCTACAACAGGTTGTAATTAAATTTGTATACTTTGTTTAATGATACATTTTTTCTACAATTAAAATTATTGCCATCTACATTAAGTAACTTACTCATAATGATAATAAAATTCTATTGAATTCTGATATTCTTTTTCGTTAAAAACTTATAAAATTATAAATGTCAAGTATTTTAAAATTTCCATGTATAATGTATTATACAAATTATAATCAAGACATTTGTATAAAAACGACTTTGAGGGTATATCTAATTATCAGATTAACCATTTATCTTGGAATAACGTGACTCGCACGTGATTCAAATCTCGACTCAAAAGTAAATTACGTGTCTTCTGCTCGTGATTTATTTACTCTATATAATGTAATGTTATTCCGCTACAACTGCAGAAACAGCATAGATTTATTATTTATCCACGACCATTCTTGACGAAGTAATACAAAACACATGTCGTGGATTAATTTGATACCAAATGATTAAACATAGTAATTTGACATTTCAAAACAATTAGTGACATTACAAATAATATATATTGAAATATAACCAAGTAGGGAGTGACTCTACTTGAAAGACAAATAAAAAATGCCGAATAAAGACTAAAATTGACTGAAATTTTTCTACAGAAAACGAATTCTACACACAGCGGTGGAATTCAACGTTTTATATTTATTTTATTCATTATTGTTACAATCAGTTTTAATTTTTATATTCTTTGGAAGTTTGGTACTTTTCAAAGTACCACCAGTAAACTATAACAAATTTCTATCATCATCTCCAGCATGACATACGAGTGCAAAGGATTAAAACTCCTGCATTTCCTTTCTTATGTTTCGCACGAAACGAAAACGTGCATACGTACATTGAGTTACCGGGATTTCGATTCTTAATCTCGTGCTGGTGCAGCTCGGAGGGATGCTCGACGTCGTAGCCCCAGAAGTAGTGTATGGCCTCATCGATTAGGTACAGCAAAAGAAACCCGCAGGCGAACACAAGCTCCGCATAATTGTTAGACATCAACTCCCGTGTTTCCGGCAGCATGTGCAGTATACAGGTGCCTAGTAACACGCCGCCGCCGAAACAGAGGACGCAGGAGAGGAGTAACCTCTGCTGCAATTCCCGTACACGCGAAACAAAGCACAACGGCGCGATGCCGACAACAAAGCTGCCAACCCCGATGGCGATCATCGAGGCGAGTTTCGCCTGGACCACGGTGATCGTCATTTTTCAGACGACGCCCGACACACGTACGCGGCCCGCTGGCACTGGCAGGAACACTCGTCCGAACGATTGACGCTAATCTAGAGCCAGTGATAAGGTCAATCGACTCTAGAGACGCGAGCGTGATCTCTCTCGAAAATCGATTATCGGGGAAACCCGACCGGCACCGCGTACCAAAATGGCCACTGTGTCGTGTCCCGTAATTCCATTATTATCTGTCACCAACTACAACGAACATTCCCGCATCAAAGTTCGGCGACGCGACACCGATTACGAACAGCGCAGCGAAACGCATTGTCCGGAAATGGTTTTGGAACGCAGACGTTTGCGGAGTTTTACGCGATACTGATAAGACTAGACGATAACGTGCTCTTACGTCGTTCATCGCCTTGGACTATCCTCTTGTAGTCACTTATCTTGATATATAGCAATCTTACCTTTAATCTGTGCCTCGCTACGAATTGAACTATTTCATGAGATTGGATTTCGTTGGAGGAATTAATGAGAAAAATGGGATTATTTGATAGATTGTTGAGGTGTGACCGGATGTTGCATCTGGAGGTCGTGGGATGTACTTTTTCGCATTTGTTCAGACGTTCTACTTATTTAACCAATTAACTGTCATCTTAAAACGCAAAATGATACTAATTTCGTCAACCGTGAACTATTTATTTTTTCAGGTAAATGTATAACTCATCTTTGCTTTGCTTTGGTTTTCCATTAAAATACACATATAAGTGAATATAAGTGCATTCGTACTGCGTTTGGCGAGTACATACTTCATTTTTTGATTTTATTTCGCGCAAAATGAGAGATTTTTCATACTAAATTTCACAGTTAACTGGTTAAAGAAATTGTGGTATTATAAAGTAAGTATTATAAGTAACTAAGTAAGTAACTAAAATATTATAAAGGTTCGTAGGATTTGTGTAATGTAAGTCTGAATTACTGATGAATAATGATACAAAGTACAAAACTAATTGGAAGTTTTAATCAGGATTTACTAAACTATATTTTCAAAAATTCGGAATATCTTTATTAGCGTCTTCACAGACTGCTGAAGTATTGGTAGTATATCATAAACTGAACAGACAATATGATTAGAAGTGCTTGCACAGATTTGTATTTTAAAATTAACGACTGAATGATAATTAAAATTAATTTGATAATTTTATTGCATTATGGCAAGCAATAGGAGAGTTAAAATTTTCATCGGTGCGTAATGCCTTATACATCCACACCTGACGCTGAGTTGTTTGTCCAATTTCTCGAATTCATAAACTGGGAGGAAGAGAGATCATTAATAGTTTTCAACGTTAATCATGTCGAGGAGGATGCACCTCGCCGATTTCAATTGTTCTCAAATACGTTACACAAAACAACGTTCTCAGTAACTTTTACTTATACATACAGCTGTCACTCAGTTTTATTTTTTAAATGTTTATGAAAATTCAGATCGAAAAATAAAGTCAAAAACTTTAAGTCGAAAGATAAAATCAAAAAATTTTTTATACCGTACCTTGTTCGTTTAATGAAAGTTCCTGTTTGCACATATGCAAATCATGTTTGTAACGGGCAGCTAACGTCATAAATCGTTGTAACTAAAGAATTTAAGGTCGCCAGAGTGTGTAGAAAGAAAATGTGAACGATAAACGACTTAGTTAAACGAATATAAACCAACTGAATATTTCTTTATAAAATAAACATCGAAAATTAGTTATAAGTATATTCTTTCTTTTTCAGTACATTCGCATTAACATAAAACTGACTTTCTGAAATTTCTCTACAGAAACTCCAAGAATGCATCTATTAAGACTTTAATTGATTTACAATTCAGTTTGCGTATTGCTAAATCAAAATCTTTAATCATTTCTCAGAGAAACATACGTTATTTATTCAATAATTACAAAAAGAAGAATTCAAGAATGGAACGTTTTTAGCCATCTAGTAGATTTAGTGTTAAATAGAAATGGGTGTCATTTTTTTTATTTTAGATAAAGTTTGTCGAGCATTTATTGAATTTATTGAATTTATCATTCATTGTCATCATCAGAAAAAAAGTCTTAACTTTTGAATTTCATGATCAATACGATCTTTTGAAAGACAGAAGTTCGTAGAATTCAGAAAAGTAAACAGTGGCGCCATCTGTCGATGATAACTTAAATCGGGAGTGAAATTTATCAAATAAAGACATTTTTCACATTTTTGTAACTAAATCTATTAAAAATTAAAACAGTTATCCATTTCGACTGAAACTCAAAAGTCAAATATTTAGAAAAGAATTTTTTCATTCAAGTCATTATTATACAAACAGCTGAAAATTGCCAACAATGTGTTTTTTTAAATAATACAGAAAACCGTAAATTCATAGACTAAATCCCCAATCTCTTATTATTACGTAGACTGCAATATATTTCAAAAATAATTTACTTAGCTTGAAATGACTCGTCCAAATATATATAAATTTCATTATAATAAATATTTATGCGTAACAAATTTGACATTTAATGCTTTTTTTATAAATTTATTTCGCTTTTTCTAGAAGCTGAAAATTTAATTATTTCAATCCACAATCACAGAATTACATATTCTTCTAAATATTTATAATTATCACCATTTATCAAATATAGACCTCACAATTTCGAAATAACATGTCTGAATATTATATAAAACTCACATGTTTAGTGTTTATACATACTGTTTACTGGCTTCCGAAATTCATATCGATTTATATTAGTAAGAGTGCTGTTTTCAGACGATCTCCCACAGGTACTATTAGATCCCAACGATCGTAACACAGCCATTTTGTCCAATAACTTTTTAGAATTTACAGCTCTGTGCTCAGTAGAATTTATCTTTAGTGCAGCTTTTTTATTACAAAGATTGTATCGCTCGGAACAATCCAATTTATCTTCGTCAATCTCTGCTTTGGATCGAACTTTATTCGATTGTGTCTCATTTTTCGCTTTCTCTTTTAACGTTTTCGAGTTGCTCGAGAAATCTGACCAAGAAGAGATATCAGAATATATCGACTTAGCTGTTAGAGGTTCAGATTTTTCAGACAACCGATCGAGCATCTTTCTGCCGCAACCGCTTTTCAATACTCTCGGAAGTTCCTTTGTTTTCTTCGACGCATCTTTCCCATCGCCGCCACATGATTTTGGTCTGTCGATGCAGACAGAATTATAATCCAACATGCTGTTAGAATTACGAATACTTTTTAAACTGGCATCGATTAAATCGGCGAAATTGAAACTATCGTCCCTAATCGCGAATTGATCATCGACCTGAGACATGTTGGTACTCAAGCTCATCGATTTACTCTGCCCGATCTTCTTCGTTTTCTTCTTTCCTTTCGATCTATGCGATTGCATCGACCATAATGTTGATTTTTCAGTTATGGTAGAGTTTACATGTGTCAAATCTTTCGCTTTATCAAAGCCTGGTCTCTCCACCATTGTTCTAACGCTGCTACTGCTAACCGATTTCATATCGTGTTTGGTATTCGTTCTGCGTGCCCTGGTTTGTCTTCTGTCAGATTTCTCTGTAGTAAGTTTACCGACAAATGCTCTGTTGTCATTAGTTTCGCGATTAGATTCAGGCTTGGTTAATACTTTCGATTGATTCTGCGTTCTTTTCGTTGTCTTCTGTCCACTCGTTTGAAGCGATTTGGTCGGCGGTGCTCTCTTTTCATCAACGATCTGGTTCTCGATCGTTAATCTTTCTAAGCGAAAATCTGATACTTTTCTAGTAATAGAATTTGGAATTACTCTCCAAACATCTTCAGATGATTTCTTCGTTGCTTGATTTGTCGACGGAACGGATCTCGACGTTCCTTTCAAAGGTACGTTCGCAACTTTCAATAAGTTTTCAACCTTCGAATTGGTTTTCGTCTGTTTTGATGGCTGACGAGACCGAGATACCTAAAGGAAAAGATTGTAATTGATGGAAACTTTCAACTCTTGTATTGATATTTTGTAAAAGTCTCCTATACTAACGAAATAATTATATAGCTTATATGAGTCTAAATACTTACAGTTTACTAATAAATAACATTTATTCTTTCTATATAAAACGAAACATTTTATAAATAAAGATAGAAAAGAAGAGTGAAGAAATGAGTGAGTGTGAATATGTGTATGAGAAACAAAAAAAAGACAAAGAAGGTTTGGAAACTAGTTAGTACTATAAATCTTCTATTCCTTCTAATATGTACAATAAATACCTTGTGCTCGTTCATTAGTCCTTGTATTTGTGCCTGTTGAAATAATTGCTTCCAGTCACAACTGCTGGATAGTTTATCGTTCTTGTTTGTTAGTAGCATGTATCTATTATACAATATTTCCCAGATGAAATTATCATCGAAGATCTAAATATTCGGAAATAAATGGAACACTGAGCAACAGGCGTATAACTTGTTCACTTTTTGTTACCTCTTTAGTCACGTGTGATAATGTTGTCAAATTCACGATATCATTCACTGACAGATATTTGACCAACCTTCCAATCAGAATCTTCGGCAACGTAAGAAGAGTCTTTCTGCGTCCTGAAGCGATGTTTCTCACGTGCTTCAGTAAATATTTACCTGATAAATGTATAATATATATTTTGTGCCATGTTTAAAAAATTATTACTAAAAATTACTACTAACAAGAAGACGACGTTTATGTATTTCTATTAAATCTATGATTTTCGACTGTCAGTATTTCAAATATAAAGATTGAATCTTTAAAATGCTAAATCACTTTTCAATAGGCGTTTCCATAAGAAAATTCAAATTAGACTTAAAACTCTTATATTATATAATTTTAAATACTTCGACCAATTAAAATTTTTATTTTATCAATTTTATTTCGAGTATATAGGAAATTAAGATTTCTAAGGTTTTTGGATAAAGGTTGTTAAAGAAAAATCTTTGGCTACCGAAATTTCGTCGAATTTCTTCTTGCAGTTGTTTGTCTTGTTCAAAATCGGAAAAATTGGAGGTTCGTATGAGTGGGATTTTGTGAGGACCGTGTGAGATCTTCCAAATATATAATATCACCTAAAGAAAAAGAAATGAAATCAAAAAATAAAATTTATTAAGCGGAGTCAATTTATCGGTACCTTGTTATGGAGAACTTTAAGCCCGTAATAATCTCTGCTAGGTGAAGGTGCAACCGTATATTTTTCCAGGTACTCGATGTCGTTCCTCATACTCGACACATCAAAATCGGCGAGACTCCATGTTTCGTCTGAAGTTTCTTCGATATACTGACATGAATACAATTCAATCGTGAATACAGCTAAACAGAAACAGCTAACAAATAATTTTCCACTTCTTTCGTAATATTTTATAAATCTTAATTATCTGTCAGCTACGAATACTTTTTCTTCTATCAGATATCAAAAGAAGTTTGAGAGGAAAGTTGTATTATATTCACGAAGTAATGTATTCAATTAAGAATAAAACGATTATTAACAAATTGATCTAATTGATTTCTGTTGCATAGATTTCTGCACTTTGATACATCATGGATGCATGAAATTTAAAATTTTTAACGATCTAAGTCATTAACTTTAGGATGTGTATATTCCATTTATTTATGGAATTTTCATTTCACATTTGATACGTTTCATTTGTATAAGATACCTATGTATAAAAGCTTCATTAATGAAAAATATATGTACTTTTCTTCTTTCAATAAAACAAGACTATACAATCGTAAATGACCTTGAGATACCTTGATAAATTAACATATTATATATATATGTATATATAATATTTTTTATGGCCAATTCTTTATCTACATTCGTACGTGAAATAATATAGATGCATTCTACATAAATACATAATGCCTACACAATTCAAAAACAAAAGAAGAAGTGCTTATATTATGGGTAACCATCAAATTCAACTTTGAAGCGAAATGTTTAAAGAAAAAAGATTAAAGTATTTTATGAGATATAACCAGTGTAATTTCATAGTATCTTTTATAATCATACCAAACAATTGCAACAGAATCTTACAATGAACAGTTAGTATAAGATATACTATGAGTCATGTTCTTGTATGATAATGCTCAACTTCATATTGCTAAGTTAACAAAATTTCTTCAGATCAATACAGCAACCGTTGCAGAACGAGCACTTCATAAATTGATGACATGCGAAAACTCATGCAGAATTTGATAGCATCAAAATCTATATCAATTTTTCATAAGAAGTTATTTTTCCATAAAATGTAGGTCAAACTTGTAGAAAACTTGTGCCGGGACTTAAAAAACGTACGAAATTAAAGAGTAATAATATAATTCAATTATTATTTAATATTTTAACATATTGTGTACCTACCGTAAATTTCAGCGCGAGATTTGAAAAATTAATGTCTATATAAAGTTGTATTATCCAGTATGTTATATTTCAACTGAAATCATACTTTTAAGTATAAAATTTTCAAAACTGGATTTATAAAATTAATGTGCAAAAACATGTACATAAAAATCTTTATTTAGCATAATAGTGTAATGAAACTGTTTTCATTGTGCCATTTATCACAAGTATTTTTCTTGAGAGTATTATAGTTTAAAAAATGCTGCATTACTATCCTTTAAAATCGGTTCAAGCATTCGAACACTTGTAAAACGTAAAATCATTTGAAACTTTCTGTTTCAATTACTTATTACAAAATAATTTATGGAAAATTTATAACATGTATTTATTTCCATTGAAACGAATTATTCAACGAATCCGGTTAAGTAATAATGATGTAGTAAATAAACATTTCAAGGCATTCAATTTCGTGACATTTTTATTACAATAATTCCATATGAAGAGATGAAGATAAATATAGAAATGTTGAAGTAAAAATGGAAAGTTGTGTGACATTACATACTATGTTGTAATGTATATTATAACAATATAGAATAGGTAGGCTATACAGTAATATCACAATGCATGATTCACAACGTCGTAAAAGTCTAGAGAGGAGAATATAAATCTAAGTCGGAGAGCAGCCGGTACACGTCGTTCAATCTTCCACGACAACGAAACCGGTGCTCGTTATATCAGTTAGAAAACGTGATGAAAAATGTTGGTTTTCGTTATCATCATATTTTTTTTTTGTTAATTTCTACACATTTTTGAAAATCTGAAATATTTACGTGTATAATCAAGTAATGCCAATTGGTTAACCATCGTCGTTACTCATTTGGTAATATAGAATATCGGCGACGCTAGAAGCTAATGGTGGTATAGACAGTACCTTTTATAGTAACGGTACTCTTCTTAACCGTAATAGTAATAAGAATAGTAATAATAACAAGAGTAATGATCAATAATCGTGACAACAGACACATATCATTTCCTTTTCTTTATGTAGGTTTGATTGCATGATTGATATGACGTTCCTAACATTTCGGACAACCGCTATGTCTCGGATGATACTTAAAAAACCGCATGAAAATAAATTACTATACGCTACCATAGTCGAAAAAGTCTTATGAGCGACGGAATAAACTTAAAGGCTCGTATTCATAACACTATATTATCACTAAACGATACACCTTTGTTTCTTGGACGAACTTACATTCTGTGAACTTAATTTTGAACATTAATAACTAACGAATCATACGACTTCATTTAATCGTGCTTTAAGTTTGTTCGTTTGATAGAAATTGGATATGAGCAACACTTCATTTAAATAACAGATGAAAAATAAAAACAACTAGCGGTGTTTTTGTAATGTTTATGAGATTAGACAATTATTTGGACGAGTCGATATTCCCATCCCTTACCTCCTATTATTATTCAAACAATGATAGTTAAAAATTGATTTACTTCTTATCCATTATACGAAGTTTATTATCTAAATAGAAATATTGCCAATTTCTGATAAGAGTAGTACTGTTATCGATTAGATTATATTTATAATTTTGATTACAAATATAGTTTATTTAGCGATTGTCTATGTAGTTAAAAGAATTTCGTTAGAATCTTAGAATCTTTAACAAATTTCATAACATGAATCGTGTTGAACATCAACATGTAAGTATATGCCTCAGTTAAACTTCTAAGGAGAAAATAGTTGATCAAGTTTCTTTCGCGAATAAATATGAAGGAGTATAGTTTGTTCTACTAGAGCGTTTTGAATACAGGCCGAACGGTATAAAAAATTGAGTTTCATATCATTGCAAAAGCGTTTTGCCACACGCACTGGTCGTTGTTGGAAATTTCTTTCCAACAAATATGTATGGCCAACGGTTGAGTAACTGAGAGGAAATACAGCGTTCTTCTTGAAAATTCTAATCTTTCTCTTCCTAGTTACTCGTTTATCCATTTTTTCAGTTCATAAGTTCTCAGTGCGAAACCTGTGAAAGAATTTGACAAAAGACACACACTAAATGTGTTACAAAAAACAAAACTTGGAAAAGAATTTGACAGAAGACACACACCAAATGTTCAAAACACATAAATCTGAAATTTTGAAATGAAATTCAAAGGGTGCACAAATGTACGTAATACAAAATTTTAGCTCCAAAGTAAAAATCAAAGGATAGCGACAAAATTCCAATAAATTTAGTCAAAAGTTTTGAGAATTTTCGAAGGATACTGTTTCTTTCAATTCTTGGAAATATTCATTAAATTAAATCCTCTAAACTGCTAAAGTAATTAAAGGTTAATACATAGATCCTTTGAAAATATTTCTATTTTGTCACTATCATTTTCATATTTTTCCATGTATGTACCATCTGGTTCTTTCGTTTTCCTATATAAATCGCAATAAATACTAAATCATTCGAATATAAATGACATTAAGTGAAGAATATAATTTCAGTTTCACTGCGATTTCTCGTATTATTCTCAATTCCTGAAAAATATCGTGTTTATAAATATTTAATCGTAATCTAGTGCCACGAAGGATTATAGAAATTTCTTTCGTCGCGACTCAAAGAACCTGCCACATCGTAAACTACTTTTGACCAAGTACAAAACAAACGCTTTCATTCCCCTACGAATATTTCGTTCTCAGCACATTCACCATAAATACAACATTTTCGCTCGTTGTACCTATATGAGTATATGTCCACGCGATTCATTACAAGGTACAAAATTTCAAGTCGGGTACGATTGAAACGTAAGCGTGAAACGACGTGCGTACCTCTGATTGCAACATATTGCATGCTCATGTACGTGTGTACATAAAAGTGTAATACATATACATATATGTATATAGATTATTCTGGAAGAACAGATTTGCGTATTGCAACAGCGCATAGAGGACCGTGACGCCTTATCGAGGAAAACGATAACTTTCATCTGGGATATGTAACTTTCTAGAACACTCGTTTCAACTGAATTATCACTGATTACCTTTATTAACTTTTCGTAGGATCACATACTATTATCTTTAATCAATAACCAAAATTTGTATATGCGTCCATTAGTCCTGTGAAGGTTTAAATCTCTGTAATATAAATATCTATTAAATTAATGTTACTTTATATCTACAGCAATTTACAAAACTGGTCTAAGATATAACACTTTAAAAAATAAGTACCAATACGAAATTTACTCGTATCAGTATCAAAGATTGAATCTTTTGTAATATACCGTATTTCAGATAATTTCTTTAAACACAACGTCATTTGGAATTAATTTTGGCATCATATAAAATATGTCTGTTTCCCTTGGCTGGCTAGATATGATTGTTTTAAAGTTTGCAATTGGAATTGATCTTCCCCCAAAACGCATAGCAGTAACGCTGCATACAGCAAATACTGTTTTCTAATAGTTTCAATGAAACAGTGTGGAACACTCGACGTCCCACAAAATCTACGTCCCGCGTTTCACAACTGCATTATCGTTCCGTCGATAAGGCGTTTGGATGCATAAGATGCATACCGAACGTACTCGAGTTAAAACGCAATCAACGGGATTAAGTATAAGAAGAAAGATTGGAAGTAGACGCAGACCGGAAACCCGACTGACCGCGAACTATGGATTCCCTTCGATCCACTTCCGGATATTAAATATCGAGTAAAAAGTGGCAATCTTCGATAACCTACTTCACAAGTACTTTGTACATCGAATAAAAGTTGAATCCCTCCTGTCCGCCATGACGTTAGGGGCTTGAACGATTTGTCCCTGAGGAACCTGATTTTTCGTTTTAAGACTGCTGAATGACGGAAACCGTCGTTTCCGTAATACCACCGCCGTCCCGGCATATGCTGGAAGAAGTAGTCGTTTCTTCCGATGGAGCCGGAGCAACCGTCAACTGCCTCTGCTCCATGTGATCCAAAGTCTTCTCGATGGCTCTCAATCTCTTTTCCAGGCTCGTCGTGCCTAGGATTCCAACTTGCAACTGGGGCCCTAGCGGTAAAATAGCCAGCAACCACCACGTCCACGAGGGACCATCCGGCAAACGTGGCCAATCTTCTTCAGTGTCTGGCATTCGACCGAATACTCGTTGAATTTCGGACTGCTGTGACGATGGCACTGTGTCCCACCATCTTCTGCCTTTCGCACGTACCTGTAATAACCACCGGTTTTTGTCAAATGAATTTTAGAACCAAGAATAAAACAGTCAATTTAATTCTTCGAGTACTATGGACGCATACGTGCGTCCGGCAATAGTCATCGCTGTTGATAATACACGCATGTATGCGTTTTCTGATCTTTGTAATGTTACACGTGGCGTGGTGACAATTATAAGTGTATATCATAAACATATTGAATGTCGCACGATTGCATAGAGCAAAATACACGAAATAGAAAAAATATAATATTAAATCATTTGAATTGTTTTCAAATAACCATCATTTAATTGAGTGGACTATAGTAATTCGATTTGGTTGGGAGTGACCGGTGACCCCTATGGCATTCAACATGCTAATATACGTGTTTCTTAGAATTATTCAATTTGGTGAAACTGAGGGATTACAATTTAATTACAACCTAATTCATTGTATGAATTGACATAATTCATCGATTTTCACATGAGCAACAAAATATTCCGTGCACACGGAACGTTTTAGCTCAGAGTATTTAACAGTCAAAGAGATAACACGAACGTGAAGATCATTTTGTTTTGCTTCCCATTTAGGTGGTACAGCTTATTTTAAGTTTGAAATATCAAAGATAAACTATAAGAAATTATGTATGCATTGCAAGTGAGATCTGAAACAGGTTGCTCATTGAAATTGAATCAACGTAAAGACGAAAGCATTGAAATACTGATTAGAGTTATATTTCAGCAGAGATTTGCTATACATTTCTTACCTTATCGTGCAGCTCTAAGAGGCTCAACAGTTGGTCCTCCTGCACCATCGCGTCCCTCAAGAATTCCACTTGAGCGGTATCATAGCCATCCCTTTCACACCCAGAGATAACCCTAAATCTCCTCCCACCGACTGTACTGAGGATACTACAACCATCTTTCAACAAGACTCTGTCCCGAATCTCAAGCATGGTGCCATATTCTGCATATCTGAAAAATCGACAAATATTGAAACACTTTGTAAGTACTACACTATCGATTTACGTATAAAATATATAGAGTGTTAGTGTTAGTATTATAGAATGTTAGCATTAAAATAGTATTTTCTCGTTTATTCTTATTGTATATTATTATATATTGTAATATTGTTTTATTATTTTCTCCAAAATTATTAATAATAAAGGAAATACTTTCTATAGGTTTAGAGTGAATTAAAATACAGGTTCTTTTATATCTGTAAGTAGATCTCGTTTTTAATTTTAATGAAGTAATCATTTTATTTATGAAGTGACAGATGTTGAAAATGCGGCGCTTATGCTACTAACATTTATTAATCTTACATTCAGTATTTTTAACACATTCTTTAAAAATTCTAGTATTCTGTCCATTCATTCTACTGTTCTTTTTTACCATAAATAAATAAAAATTTACGGTACATTTATTTCATTTCATTCATGCACCTCAGAACTCCAAAAGATCTATTCTTTCATACATCAAAACTTTTCAATCCACGTTTACATTTCATAAAAGAGTTGTTCGCACAAATTCATAATGCACGCAGTATACAGGATATTCATTTTAATTCAAGCGCCTAAATTACTTTTGCTATTATTAAAAGTAAGAAGAAATGATTAAATTCATTTCAAGAATTCACAGAAACAGCCTCCACGTATTTAAACATGTTACGCGCACCAATGAACAATTCGCTGCTTCGAAATATTACAATAATACAGTTCCACTGGAAAATGCCATTTTTACTATATATCTGTGTCATAAAAATAACGTGTAGCGCTGACAAACAACGATAAACATTTTTAAAATAAACGTTCCGTGGAATGCTGTACGGTTTTATGTGTTCTATTTATGTACGTGCAATAATTACCTCTTTGTTCCCGTTGCCTCCCTGTTAAGACACGCCGCGATGCCAAATTGACGGACACCGCTCTCAACGCATCTTCTGACCATCAGCCTGTATCTGGGCTCATAGACGAATAGGGGACAGGCGACACAAGGGAACGCGGTGGTGCAAACGAACACGGCGATCTGTTCACTGTCCAAAAGGCCGAGTCCCTGTGCGAGTTCTAATCGGTGGCTGGTTGCCCTTGAGGCGTATTCCGCTGGTGCTACGATCTTCAAAGCCCTCTCCACAAAGTCTGTCACCGTCTTCTGGCTGCTGGCCAAGTACTGCAAGTTAAAGGACACTTCGATAAGTCGACCAGAATCCTCGTTCTCGGGAAAAGCTTTCGCTCGGGAAGATTTCGCCAACAGAATTCGTGACTTTTTTATGAACCGTGATCCTTTGACTCCCTTTTGACCAACCCCTTTGAACCGGAACATCTGTAGAGCCCCATTAAACGTATTTTGAATATTTTGGTAGCGAGTTTGCCAACGCGAATTATTTAGATTCGTTCACTGTTAATGTTTCTGCCTCGATGGTTATTATACTGTTGTTTATCTGTATTTATATATTGACGGTTAATTTTCAGTTAAATGTATTGATTGGAAATGTGTATCTTATGAAAAGGGTCTGAGTAGGTTGTAAATGAAAAAAGAATGATGTGAAAGCTTGTGTTTTTTGGAATGAGAGATCTATGATCGATGGATCATAGTTCACCCCATCGGAAGCGGGCAGGATATTTGATTATCTATGATATTTCATAATGCTTTCGAAAAAGTCCATGGACGACATTATTTCTTTTTCCATCAAAAGCTATGTATTTGAAAAATTGTTCAATTCAACGTAGTTCCATATAATGTGTGTCAAGTAATACGCAATAATACAATGTAATTCATTACGATGTAAAAAACAGCCGAAGAAAATGCAAGATTGTACGTGGTAAAATTTCTTTGACATCGTTGAAGAAGGCGCTAGCTGGGAACAATTGGTAATGACGCCATGAACGCGGAAGTTGTAGACGACTGGTTCTGGTGACCGCAAACAATAATCATCTTAATCTGTAGAATCACCAACCACTAGGAAGTATCGTAGTTCATTTATGGACAGGTGTTGCTTGACGTTCTCCGAGGGTTGTATTCGCGAACATTGTTCCAGATTAACACTGGGTTTACGAAACGCGTCAATATGGCACATATTGAATTTCACGAATATTATTTGATAAATGTTTACGTTGATTTTGAACGGTACAATTACATGAATATTTACCCTAATTGTCTATTTTTAAATCTCTAATTTCGAAGATCTAAACGGATGAACAATAATTTTTCTAAGAACAATAAAATAAACTGCACAATAAATGTCCGTAAACCTAGTGTTGCAGGATTGAGTGCCGCACAATTTTACGGAAAACAATACACGAAATGAAAAAGTTATAACATTGAATTGCGTTATTGTTGTTGCACGTTTATCTTGCCGAATGTCACCGCACTGGATAACATTATCTATAATATAGGAATGTTTTCAAATAGTCACCGTTTAATTGAGTGAATTATAGTCATTTGATTCGGTTGGGGGTCACCGGTGACCCCATGACATTCAACGTGTTAACCAGTTAAGTGCGTTTGACGAGTATACACGTCATCTTAAAGCTTAAAGTGATACAGACTCTTTCAACGATGAATTTTTTATTTTTTCAGGTAAACATGTAATTCTTCTTTGTTTTGCTTTGCTTTTTCATTCAAATGTACCCTAGGTGCATTTGTTCTGAGTTTGACGAGTACACACTTCATTTTTTCATTTTATTCCGCGCAAAACGAGGGATTTTTCAAACTAAATTCCATAATTAACAGGTTAGCAGATCGTCACTAATGAGTCAGGATTATGCGGCAGAGACTTGAATCGATGCTAACGTCTCAAAAATCGTTTGACCCAGAAAATGTTGAGTTGAATGCAAATTTATAAACAATAATCGAGCGTTGGAATAAAAAACACAGAATACTAGAGAATATCGATGCACAAATTTGTATAATTACAAAATTATGCTTTATAACATAGGTATGAAAAAGCTATTAGGGTAACTTTGTAACGATCGATATTCGGATACATTCGATATTATTATCAGTGGCAGATAGAAATACTACTCACATCGGCGAGAGACGTGACACACAAAGGACAAACTGAGGAATAGTCTAAGCATCGGTCTAAACACATCCAGCAGTACGTATGTCCACAAGGCGTTGTTACTGGTTTCCATAACAGCCGGCAGCACAAGATACAATCTAATTCACCAGCCGTACCGCACGAAAGAGGTGGTAAAAGAATTTCAGCGGGTCTTGTTTCAATCCCTGCAAACAAAAAGGTTTCAATCAGTTACACGACATCTAATTAACACATTGTTGACCGCTAATTTTACGCAGAAGCCATTACATGTCACCGGTTATTATTCCGTAATTAAATATGAAAGTGAAATAATTTAAATAAACTTCAATATACTTCATTTATGCACAATAAATTGTAATATTCTATATTGCCCTGCGTTTCAAAAATTGAAATGGCAAATGTAAGTGCAAACACGAATTAACTCGTGACTGGTCAACAGTATGTTAAGGTAAAATAGAGAGATATACTAGATAATACAAAATTTCAATGCTCTTTAAACAAATGTCTATTAAATTCGACCCGTTGCTCGAAATATCTTGCACGGTAAAGAGTGTCTCATCTAAAACGAACAATTTAATTTGTAATATTGTTCATACTTTTCTTTTATTTATTATTTTTATATAAAAGGTTCGTAATTTCTATTAAAATGCGATTATAATCTTGATTTAATCAAAATATATTTTGAAATAATGTACTATAATAAATGTAAATAATACATTTTAATAGAAACTATGAACTTTTTGTATAAAAATAACAAAGAAAAGAAAAGTATGATCGCTCTTACAAACTTTAGAAGAAATAATTTTGAATAGAACATTCTTTATGGTGTATGCATTCTTGAAACGATTACCAACTGTTAAATGTAAAGTAGAAGAAGTTAAAAAAAAAAATATTGATGACCTTGAAAAATTTGAAATAAATTTTAAACGATGAAGATATTAAATAGTTGGATGAGACTGTATCAGCGCCGTACACCGCAATTTTCGAATGAATTTTGTCGTTGTAAATCCCGTTTGCACTGCGATCGTTACGATGTATTGAAACCGTTAGCTTATATTAAATTAATGACAAGCCTGGTCGGTAAGGCAGGATGTGATTTAAATAAACAGTTTAAATGAAAAACCATCCATCCGCACTGCGGACCAGGTAGCTCGCTATGCCTGATATACAACCACTTATTCACTAGTGTCAAGTATTATGTAATTATAAAAAAATATAACTGTAAATAAACTACAACTATAAAAACGTACAGTTCCACCGTCATTTTTATAATATCAGCCATTAAAGTTCGCTATTAATCACGCATACGTCGGAGCTCTACCTCCGTCTTTTGCACGACAGGTCACCGTCCGCGTATACTGACCTTCCTCACGTGCACGACTACTGGCGGATTATCGTAGTTATAATTTACGTATGTAATTTACGACTTACTCGCATATTTAGAATTATTAACTAAAAATATGATATTCCCTAAAAGTCACTCATTTATGCTTTAATTGTGAAATCTACGTATTGTTTTGAAGAATTATAGATTAAACATTTGGTTGAATTAAAAATTAAAATTATTATTATTCATAAGAATAAAAAATTACAAAAAAAATCTCCGAAAATGAGTAAAAAGATCTTTAATAAGACAGTTTTCTGTATCACAGAATCAATCAATTGTGTTAATGGAGAATTATATTTTACAGAGAATTAATAAAATTTCAGATAGAATTCACATTGAGTCATCAAGTCAAAAAATCGAGTAAAAACTCTATGAAACAAATGTAGAACAAGATGACGGATATAATATGAGGATACAGTTGTAACAATACCAGAAGTTTCATTATACATTCCCCTGAGCATTGCCAGTGTACCTCGAACTGTTTTATTTCGCGGTGACATGACGTGAACTGACCTCCAGTTTTATTTTTGCTTGATTTTTTCTGTGGGAATACCCTAAGAATCATGTTTATTGTAGTAAACCAACATCAGCGGAGGGACTAAAATAAAATATACTTTAGGAAGTCTCAAAAATGCTAGAAATTGTTTACTGGACAACTCAAACATTTACAAATTAAATTTGGAGAAAATTACCATGTGAACGATATCATTTCAGTAAAATGGTGTTCAGAAAATACATTAATGCTTCATAAAGTGTAAAGTATCGTACACGACAATACTATTTTGCAAAATGTACATATTTTTATCGTGATTTTTGAAAGAGTGTCTTTATTAGAAATCAACGAAATTCTTTTTATATATAACGACAATTAAGGACAATAACTATGATCTCTATATAATAGTTAATATTTTTTTATCGTTCTTTATATTTTTAATTAAAATTTTATGTACTAATTCGCTTAATTCATTTAATTATAAATATTCCTTCTAGACCATCATGTTGAACAATTTTTTAAGAAAGAAATTTTTTTAAGCATCAGAAGTATAAATGGTTGCATATATTTTGACGAAAATTGCGTCACGCCGTCTTCAGGCTGAATAATTTCTCTTCTTAAATAACTTCGAAGCAAGATGCGTTTATCAATCGTACGTATTGAACCATACGTATCGTGGCAAATGTGCAACGCTGGTTATTAATACGAAATGTCAGATAAAACGTAATCGGTTAACCTTTTCAGACTTCAATTTAATTTTCATGAGAAAATGACATTTTAATTAAGAATCAACCATTTAGCAAGCTTCGAAAAATCGAAGTATTTTATGTAAACCACTCCTGAAATACTTTCGTTTTGAGTAACGCCTAATACATTGTATAGAATAATATGTATACATTATAAGTAAACGAAGTCTGAATATTTTTAATAAAACCCATACATTTTTTAACGACTAAACATTGAAATTTTGTACTGACCATTTAGATTGGAATTCAATCAACGTAGTCTCCGAGTAAGTAATTAATGTCCAGTTGTTTTCGTAATTATAATAATACAACACTATATTATACAAAATACAAAAAAAAGATCAATGAACAGAAGATTTCATGAAAAATTCAGCATGGAATTTCAAATACGCGGAGCGTTCAAAAAATTCCCGGAAAACGTAAATAAAAAGACAAAAAGTTGAATCAAGTACTTTATTTTTCAACGTATATTTCGTTTAAGTGAAATACTAATACTTCATAAAATAAATCTCAGCAAATTTATACACACATCAATTAATTACAAATATACTATTCTATTTACAAACGACAACTATTTTCTGGGAACTTTTTGTATGACCCTTGTACGTGGAACGAAAGACGTTATTCTAAGCCAAGTAATCAAGAAACATCTGGAATAGCAATCAACAACTTACTGAAAAATTTAAAAAAACGTTCATACCGTTTACTACACATTAATCAACACCTTCGCGACCAGCATCACCTGTTTGAGACGCTCAACATTTTACGTTTTACCTAAAGAAAATGAACTCTTTCTACTCGAAAGTTCTTCGGTAGAAATATTTAACATATTCCGATGAGATATAGTTATTTTTTTTCAACTTAACTGATGAAAAAAGATATATAAGATAAGAAACAAAGCTACTGTATTTAAATATTTCATATATCGATGCATTACACGAAGTTTAATATCATGTATAAGAATTTATAAATTAGCTATAACAAACCCAGTGGTAACCAAGTGGTAACCAAGAGTCACCGATCGAGTGCAAAGGGTTAAATGACTTTCACGTGTGATTTGGTGTAAAATCGTAACACGCATAGTATAACGTGAAATAAGTTGTCGAGACTTTGTTTTCAATTTTATTTTCATCTCGTAATGACGATTTGTTGCGTTGAATGAAATATTGCAACTATGAAGGTTGTTAGTGAAACAAACGTTGGTCGCGAACATGCTAAACTTTAAACAATTTTTGTTTTAAAATGCAAGCACAACTTACTTTTCAATTTTTCTATATCTTGGTACATTCGATCCAAGCCAGCCTGCAGCTTAGTATTGTGTGGTGCCGCAGACGACAAGAGCCTCCTGCTAACAGTCTGCAATGAATCAACAAGCATAATTGGATTAGGCGCGAACTTTAATCTTAAATTATTAGGATTGACACGAGTTGAGATCCTATTCTTTGAAATACAATTCATCTTTATTTGCTGTGGCACGCCGCACGATTGTGTAAGATTTAATGGATTGCGTTACGTAACCTAGAAATCTTGCACAAACCTAATTTCTCAATACACTAATTACTCCCTTAGTGCTCACTGTTCAACCATTTAAAATTCTTCTGTTCACTAATTACACAATTGTACCAATATCGTCTATTGTGTCACTATATTTTTTTGTTAGAAACCAAAGTGAATGCAATTTTATGAGCGCTATTTTTGACAAATGCAGTAAACTCCTAGAGTAATCGTATAACTTACCAAATTATAAAAAGTAATGGAATAAATATTTACATTACCGTAACTCTTAATAAATAATTTTTTACGTAATTATTTCTTTAAATCATTCACCCTGAAATGAACAATTTAGATTTCTTTTCTACAGTCTCTAGTTTCAGGGATATTGTAAAAAATGTACTTTCAACCCTCAACTTTGAGGGGTGTTTTCTCGAGAACTGTGTTACACATAAGTTTCATCAAAATCAGCGTGTGTTAATTGAAAAGATTCCCTTGTTAGTTCTGAAATTCATTTCATCAAAAGATTTTTGAAACTAAATTCCACAGTTAACAGGATAATGAGATAATAGAATGTGTATTTGTGTGTATGTATATACCTGTGTGAATTCCTCTTCGCCACCGCTGCTATTATCTTCGCAGTCGGAACCGTTAAGAACTGCTCGACGATTTCTTTTCGGATTCATCAATTGATGCCGGCTCCTCGTGCGCGATGCGCTCTCTGTCAAATTATAGGGAGCCCGGGATGACACGTTGTAACGACGGTGTCCAACCGACAGTACTTTATACAGCACCTGGAAACAATACAGAACCACGTCATTTGTAATTCTAATGTATTCGCACAGTGAAAGCCACTCTTCTCGGTTGTCGGCGATTTGCACGTCCATTCGTGAATACTGTTAACACTATAAAGTCATGCCTCTCGGTTTCTCAATGATGTCTCATGCAAATGCGATATTAGCAGAATTTACGTCCGTCATTGATATTACAGGGAAATTGCGAATACATACAACGTAATTGCATTGCATTGTAAACATCTATGTTTTAACCAGTGATCTGCATTCAACGAGTATACACGTTCTCTTAAAACGCAAAATAGTACTAATCTTTTCAATAACAAATTATTTGTTTTTCTCGGATAAACGTGTAATCCTTCTTCATTTCGCTTTAACTTTTCGTCAGAATATATTATAGATGCATTTGCTCCGCGTTCGACAACTATAGACTTGATCATTTGATTTACTGCGCGCACAATGGGAGATTGTTCAAACTAAATTCCACAGTTAACTGATTAAATTAATTCAAACCTATGCTCATCGTTGTACATAAGTACATCTTTCTGAGGATAAACACGTACTTCGTGTGTTACGTACACAAAGTTTCATTTTTTTTACGTGAATCTGAATTAGTATCTGGATTTAATATTGAATATTTTAGAAGAATATTCAGATTCAATATTATGGCTGAATATTTAAAAATTATATTTGTTAGAGCTTTTACAGTAAGTTTATTTTTTGATATTGTTTTAATAAATGTTATTTATATTATACTGTATCTATGTATTAATTACATCATTGACACTGGGTTTACAGAACGCGTTCATGTGACGCATATTAAATTTTATAAACATTATTTACTAAATGTTTAAGTCGATTTTGATTAATGTCATTATACAAATATGTGTCCTAATTATCTATTTTTAAATTTATAATTTTCAAAGACTGAATAAATGAACAAAAATGTATCTTGGAACAATAGAATAAACTGTATAATAAGTTTCCGTAAATCTAGTGTTAAAATAATTGTACATAATTTAATGTTGACGTAAATATTCTGTGAACTATTTGCATTTTCCACTTCTGGAATATAATAAACTTTAATAATGGCGAGAATTTGATTTTTCTGTCACTTATATCTGAAACTTGTAAATAAAAGAAAAATGCGGAATACGGTTGACCTATCACGTCAATGCTGAGCTCCTGCAAACTAAACGGTCACAGAGGCAACTACTGAATTTTACAAAAATATTACGTTTCAAAATTGAACCCAAATATTAGAATAAACCGATTATCTCAGAATAAAAATACATAATGAAGTAAATTCTTGAACAAATACGAGATTCGTTCGTAAAATCATGTATTTCAACTATGATTTTCAATTACAAAAAGAATGTTATTATCACTTATAATAGAAATTCATTTTATAGAAGTAAAAATTGATAGTGCAATAAAGTGTTTCATAAAAGCCTAAGAAAAGAATTTGACGGTGCAGATACATTAGCTATCATTTTATTGCACATATTTTGCAAATTTGTGTCACCCTACAATTTTCAATCGCGTTGTGACCGGAGAAACAGAATTTTTCAAAAAAAAGAAAGTGCCAAATATTATTTTCCCCACAGCTTAAACGCTGCGCCAAAAGAATGACTCCTCGATCTTACATAACTACCGGTGCAACTTGCGTCAATGATTCCAGCAGACTCTCCGTTACATAATGAGCGTTCGGGATTAAATTGTCTTCGTACCTCCGTGTTCGTTTCAACACTCATTCGACCTTCATTAATGAATTTTCGTAGAAATCAATGTTTCTCAAAATTACGAGAAAAACGATAAATTAATAAAGTATTGAAACTTTAAAATTTATAACTGAAAAATTCATGAATTTAAAGTTGAAAGATGAGCAATGAATTGATTTCTATAAATGATGATTATCAGTTAATGGTGTACAAGAATAAGATAGTTAAATGAAAATATTCTGTTCTTTAATTAAGATACTTGCTTAATTTTTAAAGTAAAACATTTCTAATGTATGTAATAACAAATCTATATCCCTTCTTACTGTTTCTTAAACACTTTTCAGTAAGGAACTAACACTAGAGTGATGCCAAAATAGTTGATTATTTTTAAATGATTTAGTGTCTATACTGTTATTCTAATATATTAATTTCTTATTTGCATGTTACATATTAAAATTACTCATACATATGTAGGAATTATCCCGTACGAGTCCTCAATGTTGTAGGATATTCCCTTACAAGTCGCAAGGTCTATACAGATTACTAAACGCTCGCTCGCCGATTACGCAAAGTCTCGCCCCAAAAGTCTCGCACTAACGTCTCACTGAAAACTCTCGCTCGCACATTACGCACCAAAATTTATCTCTCCATTATCCCCCGGCCACGCATTCCCACTCGCTTTTAACGCACACCCCCATTTGCTCTGTCTTTCTCACCCGTGCACCCTTCTCACTCCCATCTTTCGTCCATGATCAAAATTCATGCAGTCATGTACACGCTTTTCTCACGGTTCAATCGCTCGGTTCCAGACAGTCTTCCTCGCATTTTTTCAGCCACTCAAGATTTTCTAAACGCAGTCATACTCTTTTCCAAACATAGCGGCGCCGGTCCGTCGCAACATGACCTGGTCGCCCGCACACACGCACAACAAACCATTCATCCCACACATATTAAATCGATTTCCAAACCTTACACAAATTTTATCAGACTTCAGGATGTTGAAAAGCATCTTAGAAAGAATCATCAAGTAATTAAAACATCTGAGAATTAGTATAATTGCGAATGTACACAGAAATAAAAAATGTACATAAATCTGTATCAAAACGACGGTCTATAAATAACTGTAATTTAAATATTTTCATTAATTCCGTATGTTGCATGTATCATTTATAGAACATTAACTTGATTCTGTTTATAGTGACTGTAATTTATAAAATTCCAAACCGAAGTTCGCACTTGTGTTAATTAAAATGAGTTCGATAAACATGTTATTTTCCTCGTAACTTTGACAAATACGTTACTCAGAAACCGTAACGGCTCGCTCACAATGAATAGGGAAACGATACCACGCGATTTAAAGACTTCAATGTATCGAGTTACGAGTAATTACCGCTGGCCTTGCGTTAAGTGTAGACTAGCCTTGGGTCACTCACCTGGAGTCTTATTAGAACACACACGATCATCGCGTATCGATTGAAATGGCGAGGCAGAGGCCATCAGGACAATAATTCTCTCCTTTTTTCTCCCAATCCTAACCATATTTTTTAACCCTAATAATATGGTATTGAATGATAGACGTGTGTCGTTCTAATGCTTCCTGTTATTCATGAAAATCAATTCGCGGACTATGTATTCTCGTTTTACTAGCTCATTCATCTGTCGCTTGAATGAGCAAGTATTATTCGCTTGCTGAATAATGGAAAAAACTGTTTTGCAGACAAATATAATGTACAATAAAATACAATATTCGTATAAAAATGACGAAACCTAGTACTTTTCATTTGCTATTTCTATAATAGTAAGTTTTGTTTTCTTTTTTAATTGTTGTATCAGTTTACACTGCTTTTATCAGTTACATAAAATATTGAATAAATATTCAATAAAAATATTAAAACATCTCTTAACATTTCTCGTAACATTTTTCATTTATCAAAATTAAAACATTAAACATCAAAGTTTTTATAATAATAGGATTAAATTTTTAAACATGTAAATGAAAATAGATTATTTGTTCTAATCAATTATGAATAATGGAATTATTACGACATTAAACTATTATATTAAGTTCCTTGGGACTAGAAGGAATTGAATTTTTCGTGTTAAAATCATCGTTTCTGTCAAATCTTTCAATTATTTGAGTTCCTGTAGACGTTTTAGAGTTGGAATCAACAATATCCTACAAAAAGTGATAATAGAATCAATATATAGTAAGTTGTTTTAAAGAAATTCGATATTGAGCGCAGTGAACTTTAAAGTACTCCAAGACTCAAGAAACTTGATACAAAGCATTTCAAACTCAAGAAATTCGATACGAGACATAGGAAATGCACACAATGCACTATGATCCGTTTGAAACTTAACGGGACTTGATATATACAACACATCGACGCGTATCCAATTAGTTAGAGATAATTAGGTCAACTCATACGAGAAACCAGATACACAGCACTACAAATTTAATTTAGTTTCTTTTACCGCTTATCCGTATTAACCTTTACACAATAATAATAATTTGTATAAAATTGTTTGCCTCTTAATCACTATTCATTATTATAATATTTCATTCCCAATTATAATTTTCTAGTTCCCGCGTGAAATGTTTTATGTCTCCCAAAATAAAATCTGACATACGAAGAATTGAGATATTTAATATCTAATACTTAATATCTAATATCTAATATCTAATATTTAATATTTAATATTTAATATTTAATATTTAATATTTAATATTTAATATTTAATATTTAATATTATTATTTAATATTTAATATTTAATATTTAAAATGATTCCTATAAACTTATTGTTATTAATATTTTCTAGACTTTGATTGGCAACTTCTTTACATTATGTTTTTTGGAAAGTATCTTATAATAAGGTAGCTTCTTTTATTGGTTAACTTTTAATTATGCTCCGTAGCAAGCAGTATACTATCTTCAAAGAATAGACCTACTCATGAGTGGCTATCATTGCTCCGGCACAGGTCACTCACCTGACTACTATCATACCGCGTCATTAAGCTATACCAGCGGCAGCGGTACCGGAAATACCGCCGTGCACAGACGTCCACTTCTTTTGTGTATGCTTTCTGTTCAGTACACGTTCGTGACTCCACACGGTACGATATCTTGATCTTTCTCTCTCTTTCTCTCTTTCCCTCGTATGTACCGTTCGGTTACGAAAGTTTGTGCAACGCTCGCGACGACAACAGAATTAGAATGAATGTTAATGGATTCTCGTACATACGACCAGGCGCATGAAGTATTTACCAATATTTATTAGCTCAATGAATTATTTACCTTTCCAGTTTAAAAATGATTGTTTGTAAAGCAATTTAGATCGAAGTCACTGTAAGAACGATACACTCACTATTAGACTCATTCGTAAAATAAATTAATAAATGTATACAGCCTACTTTAATATAATTTTTAATTGTAAGACCGGATTGATTAGATAATTTATGATCGATTTTATGTTAATGATCGTTCAATTTTCGTAGGACAAATGTTCTAATTATAAAACTAAAACGATAGAGGCACGTAGAATCATTTTGGAACATAAGTTCGGTGATTTTTCATACATTGCGTACAATTTTCATGAACACTGAAAGTTTCATTGTGAAATAAAGTAAGATGTTCACATGATGACTTTGAAAACAGATGTATTAAACCTTCGATTGTATTAATTATTTTAGATTTTCGCAATAGCCCCGATTCAATGAAAATGACTTTTGTCTTCAAACGTGTAAAAACTATACATTGTAAAATAATGTAATGTAGATTTATAATGAACTTAAGAAAACGTGTTCCATTGCATTAATCCGTAACATATCACACATTTATTATCGTAAAAATCTGAATTAATTAATATCAGATTGCAATTGCTAATGCGTCTAATTAATGCAGTAGTAATTACAGTAATGAATTTTAAATATCGGATATGCAGTGGAATGTATTATGTAATATGGAATAACCTAAACTCATACACGTATATTTCATAGCATTTTTCAATAATATTTCTTAGGATAGGTGAAAATTATGTGCAGCGCATAAAAAGTTACCAAGATATTTATATATATATATATATATAAAGAATATTTATAATTTATACAACATATAAAAAATTAAGAATAAAAGGAAATGCAGAATAGTATTATCATAAAAAATGGAAAAAAACAAGTGAAAACAATTTTAAAAATCAATCATTCAATTTTTAACTACTAATATTTTAAACACAAAATCTTATTATACAAAATGGCACAGAACTTTTCAATTCGTTTCTACATAAAAAGCATACTTATTTCAGCTGACCCTATGTTTAAAAAATGTTACATTTAAACATTATTAAGACAATTATAAATCTAACTTTATAAAACAGCAAAGCCAGCCGAACAAAAACAATATATCAAATGACACGACAGATTAAAAAGAGTAGAAATGTTTTTTTTTAATTGTAATATTTATCATTTTTCGTACAACAAAATTCGTATCATAAATGTTTTCAGGATAATTTAATATGTACACTTATATGAAAATCAGCATACCTTAACCAATTCGTGACGTACAGCTTGAGGATTTTTGTCAATGGCAACGCTGATGCAAAGTGCAAACAATGCTTCCTCATGTCTGCCTAGTGCTGACAAAGCCACTCCTCGTCTGTAATGACCCTGCAAATGAAAAAAATGAAAATTTTTTTAAGAATATAATAAAAAACAAATATTTTATAGTTAACTAAAAAGAGATGCCATTTCATTGTTCAGAAAAGGATGGAAATATTTTATTAAACATCGAGTTCAAGAGCGGACGATTTGAAAGTGATAGCTAACAGCGCATATATTACTGCTACTGATATTAATTTATAAAAACTAGAATAAGACGAAGTTGAATTTCTTGTGTTATAAATTTTATTGCGTTTACTGATATGTGAACGACATTGAACCTTTTAAAAGATATATTTTATTTCATTTCACAAATTATAATTAATTTCAAACATATAAAAGTCTGTAATTCAATCATAATACGAACAAACAAAATTATTGAAGTAAAACAGTTACTCATAGAAAACTCCTCGTGCAGAAATATCAGGATGTCGCCTTTGCAGCCGCAATAAAGCGACCAAGAAAAAACCCAGGACTTCTAAGTCCGTCCTGGTCATGTTAAAGGTCAAGCATACTTGAAAATGTTGACCATTATATTTTTTAGAATATAAGTATTGAAAATTGCTTTCTTTCATTAATCTCTTGTGTTATTATTTCACATAAAGAACCTGCTTCCAACATATATCCTTAACAAAATAATTGACAATTGATATTTTTATCAATCTGTCACTGCTTGACGTCGTCACTGTCAGAGTTAATTAATACTCCGTTTCAAAATGTAAATACATTGATCCATTCAAGCCAATGCTCGCAGTAACAAGTTGGTTACTATTCCTATATTACTTGTATTCCATATTTTTGTTATAACTTTTTAATAAAGCTTTATGTGACCTATATTTACATAACATTTTTTTCCTATTTAATGCCATAAAATATATTGATAACGTTTAACCATTAAAATATGGAACACCCTATATATGCTCCGGCGATAATGTTCAGGAAAATGGAGTATACATGTACACTAATGGTGCGAATGGGTCAAAAAAACATCTCTAACAGTGAGAAGGTGGTGGAAAAAGGATTCTCTCACCTTGCCCCAGTCCGGTCGTAGCCTAACCGCATGATCGGCGTCGGTGAGGGATGCTTGGGGCCTATTCAGCAGAAGCAATACGTGAGCCCTGTTGCTAAGATGGAGTGGGCTGTTTGGCGCTGAAACAAGGAAAAACACAACCGTAAAGCATCAGTGGAATACCACCTCCAACAAACACAGTGAGATCAGGGAGTTTACTTGGCAGGGAAACTGTTCCTTATGCTTTAACGAAAATCCCTTTCCTTCTAATTAAATTACGGGTAAGACTTTAACACTAGAACTACCGAGCATTTAATACGATTGATATGCAATCCCTATAAAAATTGTAACAATTGATTAGTTTCAAGTTTTTCAAACATTCATTACATTATTCAAGTGAAACTATTTATTTTCAGAATCATTTCGAATATTCAATGCTTCGAAGATATCAACAATTGCGAAACGAAACGACCGAAACCAATGATTTTGACTGGCACAGTAGTTCTAGTGTTAGGTCACCGAGTGGGAACATCCAGGACCGTTTGAAAATATTGGATCATAAATAATACGGTTTTATTGAAAATATTTCTTTCATTACGATTACTAATATGAATAACTCATAGTAATTAAAAATAACATGATAGCATTAGCATTCAATTAATCCAAGAATACTTGACAAAAGTTTTGTTTCCTCAAGAACTCAGAAATAGAAGTCAGACCACTGTTGTTCTCAATCACTTACAACCTACTATTTTCATTCCATTATCTCAAAAGCAGGACCCGGAAATCGAGCACCAATTAGTAACGTCCTCGTTCGAATAAAATACGCGTTGAGACGGATAATAAACTCCTTCATCGCAGTGAGATCATTGTTTCGTGAATTTAATGGGACAGCTTAAAAGTCACCTACCAATGCGACGCAATTCGTTTACAAGTTATATGAACCAAGATTGTTGTGCAACACACGCGTGGGTGTTACGAGCTCGTACGGTGTTGACCTCGTTGAATTTATTCCGAAAGCGTGTTACGAACTACATTATTTTCTCTTTCATCGACTCGACCTTCGATGATGTTTGATGTACGGCGCGCAGAATGTCCTTCAAATCAGATCAACCAAATGGCTAGCTCAACCAAGAATGCAAGATGATCTCCGTGGACGAAAGCTTGCAATTAGTACGGTCAAATTAAACCGCAGAAATTAATTGGCTTACATAAAGCAGTAGTGAGAGGAATCGAATGCCCGCCATTCTCCACGTGCGTCCACCTCAGGAATGTCGGGGTATTTGAATGAAAGGGTTTCAGCAATTTGGCGAAAGGTTACATATTATACGTAAAAGTAAAGGAAGTTAATGACTCTTTTTACATGCGCAATTATGTCTGTTTTATATAGGTACACAGAACTTTTGATTTTCAAAAGACTTTTGTAAAGATGCACAAAATTATTAATTTTGTAGGATTTAAAATCTAAAAATATTTCTAATGTATATCAATGGATAGTGTAACGAACAGATAACGTTTATATATTACTAGGAAAATATATTAGGAGAATTATCCATTTTTGAAAGAATTTTATAAATGTTTATGCACTTCTAGAAATTTCGCGTGGAATCAGTTCAGGTGGTTATAATAATTAGTAGGTGAATATTACTAAAGATTTTCGTTAAGGAGGAGTGTTTGAATTTTTATAAAGATAATTAATGTCGTATTACAGTACTGGAAGCTGTTGTTATTCCACCTCAAAGGCGAGTAACATAATGACACACTGTAACATGAGATTTACTACCACTAGGAACTCGTCTTTACCGAATGCCTGTAATCGTGCTGGAGGTCTTGTAACTTTCTCAAAATAGGCTGTACGCGGTCGCAATTTCGATGGCATCCATTCCCTATGCACAGTAATGTGCATACGAGTGCAGTGAGCAAAGCAACCTCGCACAATCATGCGCTTTTATATTCTCACAATGTCCAAAATTAGTTTACATTCGTGTGAAATTCAACAAATTTACAACAATAATTATTTTCAATTGAAAAGATCTTTGAAAACGGATATCTCAGTAAATTAATAAAAATCGTATTAGGTATAGTTTAATATTTCCCACGTATAAACATTTTTCAACAAAACAAACAAATAATTTAATAATGTACAACATACATTCAACAATCATTTTAAAAAATATATTTTTGTCGAAAGGTCTGATATTTGCAATGTTTCAAATTTTCAATTTTAAATTCCCTTTATTTGTTAAAACTTCTACAATTATCGTATCATATACGAAAAAGTTGTTAAATAACGTTTTTAAATTACACGATGACATAAACTGAATACTAGAATTACCGAATGAGTCAAAATAACCGATTCCTGATCTCTTCTCATTTGCAATCATTGAAAAAACTTAAATATTACCCGGAGTAATTATGAAACAAGTTGATTTAATAATATGCAAATTAAAGTACAACTCAATCGAAATTTCAATAAACGTGTGTTCATAATTCATAGCGAAAACATAAAAAGAACTTTATTTAACCGCTCGGTCGTTGAATAACAAAGTGAAATTGGGTGCATAGTAAACTCGTAGAACAACTTAAATTTCACATTTATTGCGATATCGAAGTATGTTAAATCTGGCAAATTCCATGTTCCTCAAAAGAAAGTTGTACGTTAATTTGTTTCGATGATGCGTCGGGTATTTCAATTAGCGTAATTTGGACAGTGTAACCAGAAGCGATAGCATCAGCCGGTGCAGGCGGGACTGCATCGTGGCATTGCAAGCAATGTCATTGCCTTCACGGATAGAGGCCCTTGCTTGGTCGAGGACGAATTTCCGGCACGCGCGATCACCGCCAATGCCAAGTCGAATCGATTCATCGAGCTCGATTTGTCAATGTCAACCGTAAGACCAGCATCTCCTATGAATCTCTACCGCATCTCACGATATGACGTCCGTGCAAGGGAAAAATTTCCCGAGATTGTACGATGCAAAGTTAGGAGGCTGAAATGTGGCATGTCACGGAACAAAAGCTACCCGTTTCAAAGTTGGGCAAAATGTAATTGAATGACTAAATTTTTAAGAATGCAATTGGGGAAAGAAAATTAGGGGATAAATGTTTTCTTCTAAACAAAAGTTGTGAAAAGCAGTATCATATGGATTCTGTTCAATTTTACATTCTTCAGATTCTTATAAATGCATATGAATTTAGAAGACACAAGTTTTGTATAGATTCAGAAATTGATTTTCTCGGTGATACATCAAACGAATCAAACTTTATTGGATGTATGAAATACAAGAAGATTAAGAGAGCAATCGCAGTACAACATCTTTTCAATTTCGATTCCTGTTTCAATTGTGTTGTGATTTTTCAGTTTCCATTTTGTTACGAATATTGCTTTGTTTTTTGGGTAATATGATAAGTACCGATTTGTCAACGTGTAAATGAAGATACTTCGAATGAAATAGTTAATTTCGAATTATTTTTTATAATCGTAAATTGCTATTAATTGACTTCGGTAAAATTTTCTATGGGAATTTTAAAATGGTATTCAATTAAAAAGCTTTATTTAAACGATCAATCTAGCTTTTCCAGCATAAATATCTAATAAACAGGAATACGGACGACGTCATGGGAAGTAATGGCAAAATACGACCCAAATGCATTGAATTTATACACCTTGGTATTTAAGTAAAGGAACGAATGGTTTTCAAGTTCCATAACCAGACAAGCAAAATTTCACGTATTTTTTACAAAGAAAATTGTCTCATTATTGTTCGTTGAAGTGAAAGTTTTTTTTATTCATCCAGAAAAAATTTGTATAGCCATCAAATAAAAGCAGAAAAGATTACACGTTTTAAAAACCAACTTCCTTATTCGAGAATCTCTTTCAACGGAAAGTGCATTCCTTTGTACGATACAGAAACATCTTATACTGCTAAAATGACCGCAGCAGTCGATATATACAAAATAAAGAGAAAAGGAGAAGAAACATAACTGTAAAGTTCAGAGTTTATACTGAATTATTAGTAAGTGTCAAATATAAATTCGTAATTAAAACTGATATCGAAATTAAATTGAAGTTTAAATTAAAGTATCAATTGAATTTACAGAGTAAATTACATTATTTTATTTCATACTGAATTTTATATTGAAATCTTGTATATATTTATTTCAGAAGAACGAAATTTGTTCTTCTGAAGCCTAATTTAGAAAGTAATTTGTTTATATATTTTCTTGGAAAAATATCAGTTATTTTGTTTCTAAATTTCTATCAAAATTTCAATTGACAAGAATGCACGCGGTGTAATTAAACATAAACTGTTGTCCGCTTAAAATGTACTTTCTTTGAAACATTTTCACACACTGACTTCTTAAGAATAATCCATTACTTTATGCACACAACATTTTAATCGGTTCAGAATATATATGCAGATACTCAGTTCCAATTTCAAACACGTCATCCCGAAACAAAGAAACACGAGCAACGTTATCGGGGTGTTGTATGAGGGCAAAACATGTCGAGTTCAATCGATATAAGTTCATTCCAAGAATGAATGCTGCAGTGTTCGACACTTTCACGTAAGCATGCGTCACAATCCATCCGCACGCTAGACGCGTCTGCTTTTTGTGAACAAGCAAAAAATTAAAGCTGGGTAAATTGATCATGAAATAGTATCTAAAATCTTTTCAAACAATTCATATTTTTTGGGTAACTCTGTCGTGTAATGAATGTAAATCTAAATGTAACATTGTCAAAACTGTTAATTATCAAAGATTTATATTCTATAACGAACTTAACTATACTATATATACACTGTATAAAATAAAAATTTTCAAGGACAGCTAGGATTTCAAATAGAACTTAAGAAATATAAATATCGCTTGATTCATTTTGGTTCAAATGCAATATTATTTTACTATTATCAATTATTGTACTTTAGAGTAACTGTAGATGAACAATAAAATAATTCCGTTTAGCACTGTCATGAAGAAATCATAAGAAAAAGGGTTAAGTTGTTAACACATTAGCAAATTTTTCACTTCCCTACTACTCGTTGCCGGTGAAAATGAAGAAAATCTTAAACTAATTGCCGCAAATTTCCGACGTTAGAACAGAGACGAAAATTTGAAAATTTCTTTTGAAATATCG